TAAAAAGATCAGACAGTAGAAACGAATACTTTGATGATGATGCAGAATCAAGGACATTTGTAGTTCTTTAAGCTCAGTTTACGTTTCTTTTCTTCAGTCCTATCGTCAGGGATAACAAAAGTACCAAGAAATACCATACACTTAATATTCTTTACTTCACAAAATAAAATACTTATATGATCTTAGTCTATATCAAAAGCTTGTCTCAATATTTGTACTAAATTTTAATATCAATGTTTTATTTAAGTTTTAGTGAAGGAGAGAGATTAGCATTCTATTTATAAATTCAAACATCCAACGGCATTCACGATATTCATACCGTTTATGGCATGTTATTCATAAAAGGATTTTTGAATAATGTTTCGATTTCTCAACATTGGTTTTTTATTTTTCAGGTTAAATAATTTCGGTTTAAAAATTAACTTCGCGGCCAACATCTATTACTTCATAGTTATTAAAAAAATGATATTACCAATAATGTTTCAAAAATTTGATGGGCTATATATATTATGCTCACTTAAAATCTCTTCAGTGTTTCATTTTTAATTATCAAAGATATTACTTGACTTTTTACCCACTTTCTTGCCATCTGAAAGTGACACACGCATTTTGTGTATTGCAATATGTAAAATGGGATTTAGTGTGACATCTATCTATATGTGTTATTAGTGGTCCTCTCGTAATTACATATTTTAAATTTTCCAAAATGAGTGGGGGGAATATAAAAGTAGTTGTCAGATGTCGTCCTTTAAATTCAAGAGGTAAGGAAATAAACTCTTATCATAAAACTGTTCTTTCGTTAATGGATTGACACGCTAGAATAAAAATTATCATTTAAAAGAATTTTCATCAAGTGTAATTATGATTAAAAATAATTTTTTTAATAGAAATTGCTCGAGGGGCAAAATGCCTCATCAGAATGGAGGGGAATCAAACTATTATTACCAGGCCTGATGGTACTGATCCAGCAAATGCAAAAAAAAGAGACGCTGGTGATGATGTTAAAGCATTTACTTTTGATAAGTCTTACTGGTCTTTTGACAAAAGGGATCCAACTTATGCTACTCAATCAATGTTATATGATGATCTTGGGGAAGATTTACTTAACCATGCTTTTGGAGGATACAATACTTGTATTTTTGCTTGTAAGTTTGTTTGCAATATACACACACACATAACATTCATTAATTATCATATTTATTATATAAATTCATAAGAATAATACCATTCTTTTAATCTTTATTCAGATGGTCAAACTGGTTCTGGAAAATCATATTCAATGGTATAAGAAAAAATTTAATTATACACAAAATCTTTTTTGTTATTTTTTCCAATATTTTTATTTATAAAAAAATTTAAAATTGAACTTGGTAAAAGATGGGATATGGTGAAGATAAAGGAATCATACCTTTAACATGTTTTGAATTATTTAAAAGAATTGATAATTCCAATGATCCAAATTTAACTTACCAAGTTCAGGTTTCATATATTGAAATTTATAATGAGCGTGTTAGAGATTTATTAAATCCTAAAAATAAAGGAAATCTTAAAGTCAGAGAACATCCTTTGTTAGGTCCATATGTTGAAGATTTATCTAAATTGATTGTTAATTCTTTTGAAGATATTGAAAATTTAATGGATGAGGGTAATAAGGTAATTTTATATACAAATTATAATTATTATATTTTTTAAAAAAAAAACTAAAAAACTTTAGAATTAACCTTATGGAAAAAATTTTCCAATTCATTATGGGGCTTTTATAGGCAAGAACAGTGGCAGCAACAAATATGAATGAGACTTCAAGTCGTTCTCATGCTGTATTCACATTATTAGTAACTCAAAAACGTCACGACCCTGAAACTAATATGGATACTGAAAAAGTTTCTCGCATCAGGTAAAATCAATTTATTTATTGATTATAAAATATACAAATGATTTATTTATTAATTATTTTCTCAATAACAATAATAATATTATCATTTTATTATCAGTCTTGTTGATTTAGCTGGTTCTGAGCGTGCAAATTCTACTGGTGCAACAGGTGCACGGTTAAAAGAAGGAGCAAATATTAACAAGTCTTTAACAACATTGGGTAAAGTTATTTCTGCTTTAGCTGAACAATCATCAGGTGGTGGTGGTAAAAAGGGAGGAAAGAAAGGCGATAGTTTTGTACCATATAGAGATTCAGTATGTTATGATTAGTTAATCAAGTTTTATTGAAGAATTTTTATATTATATGTTGTATATTTATTATTATTTTATTTATCATTTATTAGGTTTTGACTTGGCTATTAAAAGACAGTTTGGGTGGTAATTCTAAAACTGCTATGATTGCTGCAATTTCACCTGCTGATTATGATGAAACCCTTAGCACTCTTCGTTATGCTGATGCAGCCAAACGTATTAAGAATAAGGCTGTTGTCAACGAAGATCCTAATGCCAAACTTATTCGTGAACTTAAAGAAGAATTACAATTATTGCGTGGTAAGCTTGGTATAGATCCTAATGCAAATATCAGTGACGTAATAGGAGAATCACGTAAGGATGCAGATCTTCCACCTTCTCAACAATTTGTTGTACTTACGGACAAGGATGGTAATAAAATAAAGAAGAATAAAGAAGAACTACTTGATCAAATACTCGCTTCTGAAAAATTGATGACTGAAGTTAACGAAACGTGGCAAGAAAAAATGCGTAAAACTGAAGAGATTCAACGTGAACGTGAAAAAACTTTGGAAGAGCTTGGAATTATGGTGGAGAAAAATGCAGTTGGTGTACATCCTCCAAAGAAAATCCCACATCTTGTCAATCTCAATGAAGATCCATTGATGTCAGAATGTTTAGTTTATCAAATTAAAAATGGTATAACACGTGTTGGCAAATCTGAAGCTGAAGCTCCGGCTGATATACGTTTGAGTGGTGAAAATATTATGGATGAACATTGTTACTTTGAAAATAAGGATGGTGCTGTAACATTGCATCCATGTACAGACAGTTTAACAATGGTAAATGGAATGCGTATAACTGCACCTGAAAAATTAAATTCGGGATTTCGTATCATTCTTGGAGACTTTCACGTGTTTCGATTTAATAATCCTGAAGAAGTTAGAAAAGAACGTGCTAAATCAAAGCAACTCAGTATTAGTATTGCTAATAACGAGGATGGATTAAGACGACCAGATTCACCCACATCTCTTATGTCAGAAGCTGTTATAGATTGGAATTATGCAAAACGGGAGGTGGCTCTTAATTATTTAAATTCTGGTGGTGACAACTTAAAATTCACAACTTTACCTGATGAAGATTTACAAAAACTTATGGAAGACATTAAGAAAATACAAGAAGCTCGTAAACGACCTGACAGTAGAAACGAACATTTTGATGATGATACAGAATCAAGAACTTCTGAGAAAATGGGATCAAATGGTACATATGAGACATTTGACACAAATTATAACGGATTGGCGCAATCTGAAATTGTTGAAGAAAAAGTCAAACCGTTTAAAGAAGAAATTCAACAACAACTTGAATTGCAAAAACAAGAATATGAAGAAAAGATGAAAAAAATTAACGAAGCAGATGAATTAAAAGCCGAAAATAAACAGATTGAAGAAAAACTTAAGATGGTTCAAGATGAAATGCATAAACTTCAAAACATTTCACAGAATCCTTATGAAGATTATAGCAAAGCACGACCAGGAAAATCAACATATACCGAAGAAGAATTGCGTCTTATTAGGATGGCTGTCAAGAAATGGAGGCATCAAAGATATGTTTACATGGCTGAGACTTTACTTAGTAATGCAGTCATATTGAAAGAGGCTAATGTTATAAGTAAAGAACTTGATAAAAAAATTCTTTATCAATTTACCATTATAGAAGATGAACCATTTACAAATCCAATTTCATCTTATGAAAGTACGTCAGCATTAAACCAGTATAATAACAATGAGGACACTTCACTACACGCGTCTAAAAAACCTTGTGTAGGAGTGAAAGTTATTGACTTTAAAAATGGAGTTGTATATGTCTGGTCTTTGGATAAACTCAAAACCCGCCTTCAGAAGATGCGCAACTTGTATAATTTTATAGATCGTCCTCAATACAGTAGACATTTTAATTGGGAAGACCCATTTTATGAAAATCCTTTACCTCATTATACCTTTATAGGAAGTGCTTCCATTGGTCTAACAAGTTTAATATATAAAACTGAACATGAACATAAAACACCAGTGATTTGTAGATATTCTGGTGATGTATTAGGTTATTGCAGAATTCTTATCAAATATATTGCAGATTTTTTAGATAAATACAATGATGGCAAAGATGGCAAAGATGCTAAAGATAATGATAATAATAATTTAATCAAAGATAAGCCAAATGAAACATCAAGTAAATTGTTGATTGGATACAAAGTTGTGTTTGAGGTCAAAATACTAGAACTTACTGGAATTTCAGAGTCACAATTTACAGATGTGCATGTGCAATTCAAACATTCATCATTTGGAAATGAATCAAGTGGGGTTTTGGCTACTAACATCATGTCAGACTTTGGAAATTTACCAATTAACCTTAATTATGAACAAACATTTAAAATGATAGTATCGCCTGAGATGATAGATATATTTACAAATCGAATGTTAACATTTGAAATTTTTGGACGTGCAAAGCAATGTGTTTTAGAAGAGATGAAAAAATGGGATGATCATAAAGAGAGACCACTTTATAGAGGCATTAATGGACAGGTTCACGCAGATTCTATGGTTACAAGAGAACGTCATTCTGAGAATGAACTTGTATCAGAAGAAAAACATGACGTTGTAGCTTGGGTACAAGTTTGTGAACTTGCCCCTACAGGAGAATATGTTCCAGTTCAAGTACTTACACAAAATTCTCTAGATCCTGGGGCATTTTTCTTAAGACAAGGACTACAACGTCGAATAATTCTAACATTGACACATAATTCAGGCAGACTATTCCCTTGGAATAAAATAACAAAAATGGAAATTGGACATGTAAGATTATTAAATGGAAAAGGGGGATTGTCAGAGTCTTCAGTTCAAAATGATGTTCAAATGAATTTATTGCCACATCAACCTGTTCATTTTAATAGGGATGGTACTAGTGTGATTGTTGCACAAGCGTCATGGGACAGTACACTTCATGATTCAATATTTTTGAATCGAATAACAACTTCTAATAGTCGTGTTTTATTAGGATTAACATGGTATGTTGAGGCTGAAAAATGTGTAGAACCCATAACATTTCACATGGATATTGCAGTTCAAATCCAAGGACGTGAAGCAAAACCACCATCAAAATTAACACAATTGATAAGTCAATCAAAAGTGTTATGGAAAACCAGCGGACTATTTTCCATTACACTTAAACCACCAATGACACGTAAAATTTCTGAGCTTTGGCGTCTCAATACGGCCAACAAATATGTACGTGGAGAAGAATTTTTAGGAGATTGGAAATCACGTGGTGTTTCATTAGTTAATGATTACAAAATGATCAGTGAGACAATAAGAAGAAAAGAGGCAGTTGAACATACAAAGCAAGTAATTGCGTTATTAGAAGCTCGTAATAAATTAACTTCAAATGAAAAAACGAATAAATGTGATCCTACAGAGCTAACCAAAAAGACCCTAACACTTTGGAGGAAGAAGTGGGGATTATCCAAAGAGGTTTTTATTTAATTTAATCGGAATTTTTATTTAATTATTTAAATATTTTATTGTTGGTTTACATAAAAAATGGTTTATTTTATAGATTGTTATAAATCAAGAACCACCACTTTCAGGACCATGCACTGATATAGATTCATCAAGATGTTCTAAATCAGAAAAATTGGTTGCACAAGTTTGCATGGTTTCCAAAATGTATATATTACTATTAATTTATTAGCCTTTCACTACTATGGTTACTATAGTTATTATTATTATAATTGAAAAAAAATATATGCTAATTATTATGTTTTTGATTATTTTTGTTGGTAATAAAGTGACACAATAACCAAGAAAGGTTGTTTATCTACTCCGGAAAATTCAGATGATTTTTGGGTGAAACGTTGGTATGTCTTAAGAAGGTAATGTTGAAACTTTTACTTGGTATTGATTGATTGAATAATAGATATAATTCTAATATATTAATCTTTGTAAACATTTAATCAATATTTTTTTTTAAAAGACCATACTTATTTATTTATGAATCACAAAAAGAAACTGAAGAACAAGGTGTAATAAATCTTGCATCTGTTAGAGTTGATTATAAAAAAGATTTAGAAAATATGCTTCAAAGACAAAATGTATTTGCTATTTATACTAATAATAATGCATATATATTACAAGCATCATCAAGGCAAGATATGATTGATTGGATTTCCAAGGTTATTATTTAATTATATATATATATTATTATTGTCATGATTATTAAAGTTTTTAACTAATAATTTAACACTTTTTGCTAATATTATAAAAAATAGATTGATCAATTTTATCAAATATCATCTTTGGAATAAAAACTCAACTTTAATTAAATTATTTAATTATCGTTTTCGCATTTTTAGCATTTTTATTTTATTTTATTCTTACTTTTTTTTTTATTAGACTTTTTATTTTATTTTTATTATTATTTATTATTAGATTTTTTTTTAAAAAAATTTGTATGTATTATTTTATTTATTCATAACTACCTTTCATCCAACTTAGTAATGAAATCTGATGACTTATTTAACATTATTGACATTTCACTTCTCATTGAAGGTGAATCCGTTGTATATACATATAGTATAATATGTGTCTTTATTCAGTAAATATGAAAGAAGATATGAATTCTTAGAAAAAATAAAAAAGCGAGATGGGGATTAATAATATTAAAATATTCTTTTATCTCTGAATGAGGTGATGGACGAATCAATTGGATCGTCTTCATAATACATATATAATATACATTTATCCTTAATGTTTATGCGATAATTCATGTATATGATTTGCATAAATTTGTTTTTTATTTTCTTTGATGGGTTAGGTCGCTTCGCAAAATTACAAAGTACAAATTTTAACAATTACTCTTTGTTAGTTGTTGAATGATTTTCTTTGCCCTTTGATTGTCAGTAACCATTTTTTTCTTTCACGCCTTTTTTTTTATTATTAAAATAAGCCATATTTTTCCTTGTGAAGTTACTTTTAAATTGGATAATTTTATTTATTTAATTATTCATTATTAGATTTTTTTTTTAAAAAAAATCAAAATAAAATATAAAATATGATAAAATCTATTTAACAAAAAATTAGAATAAAAGAAATAATTAAATAATAAATATATATATATATATACGTGCGCGCGCGTGTGTGTGTCATTCTTTAAAGGGAAAAAGATATTTACTTGTCTTTAAAATAAAGGAAAGAAAAAAGATTAAATGAATAAATGATTAAATACTTGGTTAAATGATTAATAAATAAATGATGAATTAATGAATGTACAAAAAAAGTATATGTATATATATATATATATAAAACATTTCCTCAAATTATTTTACAAAATAATTAATTTTCTGAAAAGAATACCTTTGACTGACTAATTAAATTTATAGATTATTAATTGGTTATTTAGTGTATCTTTCCTTTAGAAGACAAGCACTTTTTTTGGGGTTTTTTTTTAGCAACAAAGGTTTTTTGATAATAAATTTGTAAAAATTATTATCCTCATTACGAAATTGACGGTTTATTATTATGGTTATTGTTGTGATTGTGATTGTTGTGATTGTTGTGATTGTTGTGATTATTGTGGTTATTATTATTGTTGTTGCTGTTGTTATTATCGTTACTACAACCTTTAAGTGCAGAAAGTTGTTGTCTTAATGATTCAATTTCTTTATGTGATTCATCTTGATTCTGTTTTAAATTATTAATATAATCCACCGCTAAAATTGACATTAAAAATAATAATAACAAATTAAAATTAAAATTAAAATAAATCAATAAATTTGTTTTAATTGATCATAATAATATAATAATAATAGATCATAATAATAATAATAATAATAATAATAATAATAACTATTATTATTATTTAATTCTTTCACCTTTGCTTAAAATTTCCCATTTACTTGTTTTTAAACTTTTATCAACAGGTAATGAATCTCTAAGTTCATCAAAAAGTTCCTTCATCTCTTTCCTTCTTTTACGTTCAGCAAGTTTATGAGATATCCGTAGCTCGGGCGAACGTGAATAAGGCGTTTCTTTAACAAGTTGTTGTGGTTGAATATATCCAGGGGAATACTCGTATGCATAAGGATGATATGCATGATGATGATGATGTTGTGGTGAATAAACATTGCCTCTAAAACGATCAATGTCCATAGGAATAGTATTATTACCACCACCACCGCTACTACTACTGCTAGTGCCACCATCACCACTACTGTTACCATCTTGAATGTGGTCTGAAAATCTTGAACCAAATGGCATGATAGGCATAGAAGCTCTTCTGGCTAATATTGGAGCATTTTCATCATGAACAATTTGCGATAATCTAGGGTTATTAAAATGATGTGATGTTGACGACGACGATGAAGAAGATGGTGTTGGCGGTGGTGGTTGTGGATATGAATCATTATGTTCTGATAAATGAGATGAGGATGATGGTGGTAATCCGTTATTGCTAGTTGAATGATCTGATGATAAATCATCATAATGATGAGGATGATGCGAATGATGAGAAGAATTATTATGATGACGATGGGAAGAATTGTGATGGTTGTGATTAAGTTTGGGTAATATATTACTATTGCCATTATTATTGTTGTTGTTGTTGCTGCTGCTGCTACTATTGTTATTGTTGTTATTTATATTGTTAGTATTATTTGAATTAGATGATAAAGAAGGAAGTGCAGGAGGGCTAGAAGGAGCAGAATAAGAACTTCTACGATCATATAAAGACAATCTTTGTATAGCAGGATCACCGATCGATTCTCTACGTTTTACTGGATAATCATCAGCAGTTATTTGATGATGGTGATTAATAATACTGCTACCACCATTATTACCATTACTACTGTTACCACCACCACCACCACCATTTCCACTGAAACTATTAATACCACCACCAATATTATTATTGGGTGATGGTAATGGTAATCCGCTGATTGTACTTTTTCTTTTGAGTGGAGAAACCACCTCACCTACAGCAATAGAATGACGTCTTGTCTGTAGTTGTGCTTGAAATGCAGGATTCATTAATGAACCAGGAAAACCATCTCTTACGGGACTTGGACTTGCACTTATTGATGGCAAAGTTGAATCTCTTAGTTTACGTGATTCCAATGAAGAGAATAACTGATGATCACTTTTAACAGATGATGGACGTGATAAGGTGGATGATGGCGAGAGAGGATATTGATCTACATTTGCCAAAGAACTACGACGTTCGGATGAATTTGACGAAAAATGAACATCAGGTTGTGAATATTGCCTTGATAATTCAGGATTTGGAACCGATAAATGTAGCGAAGGATCTGTTATTGAACCACGTCTTTGAGTATTTAAATATGATGGTATGGAAGGATGTTGTGGTTCTAATGGAGCGAGAGAACGAGAAAAAGGATCTTTTGTTGGGGAAGGAATAGGAGGTGGTGTTAATGATGATAGACTTATGTCTGTCGATGATGATGACGACGACGTTGTCATTGTTGTTGTTGTTGTTGTTGATAGTGAAGAAGTTATTGGTTTATAGGAAGTTTTATTGGAATCGTGAGGTGGAGTTGGATTGGGAAAAGAGTATTTTGATTGAGACATTTGTAAATATATTTTGTTAACTGGTGGTGATATTATTAATTTTAAAGTTGAAGACGTGTGATGTGATAATAAAAAATAAAAATACGTTCTTTCTTTAAAAAAAGAACTAAATTACTAAAAATTTAAGCTAAAAAAATTATATTTATAATTCTGTAGAAATTATAAAACTAGTTTTGCAAATTTATTCTTCCTTTTTTTTTTTTGGGAAATATAAAACGTTTACTTTGAAGTAATGTTGTATGTGTTATTATTTCTATTATTATTGTTGTTATATTATAATATTAGTGTGGAATTACTTTTGTTGTAATTTTGTTATGGTAATTTGCTGAATATATAATAAATAAATAATAATTATAGAAGTGATAATAAATAATAAATTTCTTGGTCTTTATTTTGAGTGAACATTTTTTGACTCGTGTAACCAAATCTACCTACAAAGAAAAAATATTATTGACTATTTGTTACTTATTTCACACTGTTCCGTTTTTTTTACTTACCAAAAATTATTCATATGCACACTTTTTTTATACACATATATATATACATATATGTACACATAGTCTAATAAACAAGTGTTACGCCGTACAACTTCACGTTTTTTATTTATCATATTCGAGTTTAATTTTGGAATTAAATCGATTAAATTTGGATTTATTATTATTTGTTGCATGATAATAATAATTAAATAGTCAATTATTAAAAAATATTTAAAGATTAAGTCGTGTGCTACTGCATCTCTTTGAGACAATATATTTTGCATTAATTGACAAACTGAAAGATGATCACATTTAAAAGTTCATGGTCTTTGAATAATGCTAATATTGTTTGCACTGACTTTTTAGTTCTTTAAAAATAAATATGAGATGGTTAAGCGTGAGATGATAATAGTGAAAAATAAATAATTAAAACAATAAAAGTTAATTATTAAATTAATTCAATGAATGGAATTAAATTAAACTTTAATTTAACTAGCAATTTATCATATTATTGTTATAATACAATAAATATTTATTTTGCTTACCAAAAATAAACACTGGTATGACGAATAAAAATTAAAAAAAAATGAATGGTGGGTTTTAAAGATCTTGAAGAAAAAAGATATAATTAAATATATATATATAATTCCCTGCATTATCATGATCTTGTTTTAATATATACTATTATATCCCCCACAAGGAAATTAGAAAAAAAAAGAAAGTTATCACTTTTTTGTTCAAACCCTGGAAAAATATAAACGGCCCTTATTTTAATCCATTTTAGTTGTTTACTAATTTACCTTTTTCCTATTATATATTAATATTGTGAAATATTGCATAATAACAACTGGATTTCCAAAGAACAATAAATAATGGTAATTTTAGCCAAAATCAAGTCTCAAAATCATAATAATCAAATCTCCAATTATAAAGATTATGAGAATTTTAATTTGGCTTATAATGATGTCAAAGATCAAAATTTTCATCTAAATCGTTTTTCATCAATCTTGAATATGAAATTTTAGTTTGTTTCGACAGAATAATAATTATTTGGTGATAGTAACATTAATTCGCCGGTTCCTTTTAATTTAATGATGACTACAGCGTGCCCAATATTATAACATTCATTGTTCAAAAAAATTCATCCTGAGTGCCACCTAGAATCAGTTTAAATTCATACGGCAGATTCTTTGGAAATCCAATTGGAAATTAAAATCCTCGTTTTAAATTTAATAATTTCCCTCCTT